TCCATTTATTCAAAGCTAAGAACTACACTCTCTGTTAAAAATGATGTCGATATTAGTAAATATCCAAAGTTACGTTCGCTTTTGAAAAGAAAATCTGATGGTTTTAAAAGCCAAAAATCCAAAATGTTTTCGCCTGAAGACATAAAGACTTTCCTAAAGAATGCACCTGACTATAAATATTTAATAACAAAGGTAACGGAATTATTATTTTTATTTTAACAAATACTTAATACATAACTACTAATATTTGTAGGTAGCATTAGTTTTTGGATTATCTGGCGCTTGTCGTTGCCACGAACTAAAAGATTTAACAATAAGCGATGTAAAGGATACTGAAAGTATTCTGTTAGTTAAAATCCGTAATACAAAAACAAAAGTTCCGCGTTCTTTTCATATTTCTGGACCCTTTTATGATATTTCTAAAAAATATATGAGCCTACGTCCCGCAAACATGGATCAAATTAATTCAAGATTCTTTATTAACTATCAGAATGGAAAGTGTAGCAGACAGGTTGTTGGAATTAATAAAATCAGTAAATTTCCTAACGAAATTGCTCTAGTTTTTAACGCTTCCGAATCCTCAAGATTACACTGGGCACTGTTTCCGCAGAACATCCGCAACGCTATTAGTGGATGCAGGATGTGACTTGCTTCTGTTAAAAAAGCACGGTGGTTGGAAATCTAGTAGTGTTGCGGAAGGATATGTAGATGAATCCACGAACAGTAAAAACCAAATACAAACCAAAATTTTACAATCTGTACAAAATAAGGAAACTACTAGTTCATCCGATTATGGCGCATCATCATCTGAAATGACATTTAACAGTAGAACAAATATGTCGGCATCTACCTCAATAAATAAAAAGCTTGAGTGTGATACCCCATAATTTTGAACAATTGTTCAAATATAACAATAAATCAATATTTAAATAATAAATAATATTTCTGAAATATTTAATTGTTGGTTAATTTTTTGTTATTCCTAACACAAAATAAAGCATTTGCTAACGTTTGTTTTTTTTTCTACACCCGTATTATAATAATGCACTTATATGCCCATAATCCGTTTCATAATGATACCCATTATGATACAGATTTTTCATTATGATACAGATTTTTAATCAATAGAAACCTACAATTTTTCAATCAAGCATGATGTTTGACGTTTGTCCTAAATTCCTATGTAATTGTTTTAGTTGTCAAAACGTATTAAATTTTCGTAGATAGCTAAACTTCGATAATTATAATATTAAAATGTCTGATATCAGCGATATAGAAGACTTCTCCACACATATCGGAGAAAGGAGAAAATGCAGTACAAAATATTTTGCCCCAAAAATCTGTGGTAATACCAATACCCAAGGTAATACCATTAATTACAATTTTGTAGAATTTTTTATAGAAATACGAGTAATTACTGTTATTGTGTTCAATGCCAATATAAATAGAATATTTATAGGTCTTGATTATTTATCGGGTGTAGAAAAAATAGCGTATGCAACTCTCATGTAATGGTTATTAAAACACTCGCATAAACCATACGAAACTCGCCTTTGGCTCGTTTCGTATCCCGGTTAATGCTCGTGTATTAATAACCATCATTACATGATCGTTGCATAATATACTATTTTCATTTTAGTAGGTACCTACATGACATAATAGTAATGACAAAGTATAGTGTTTTACTCGTCGAAAATCATTTTTTGAAGCTCGCGAACATTACCAAATTGTTCTCTCGCTTCAAAAAATGTTATTTTCGTCACTCGTGAAACAATATACTATTTCCTATCGGTTACTACGCTCAAGTGTAACTTGAATTAATATCAAAGAAAAAAAATACTGCATAAATAAAATAAATACTTAAATAATTATAATTGCATAAGTTGATAAAAAATGCTATGCAATAGCTTTACCGCGGCAGTCCCCTAGTGCCACATGTATTTTTTGAAGTGAAAACTTCTTTAGTGGCGTTGAGCACTTTTGTGGGATGGGTAAAAACTGTGAAACTCGCTGATCGAAAATTCGTAAGACGGTTGGAGAGTAGTGTTGTAACATCGAAATCGATTAATCGAACAATCGATTGTTTTCTTTCGATTGTCGATATTTTTTAAATTGGAATAAATTTAAATAAATTGGAATAAGTTGGAATAAATTGGAATAAATTGGAATAAATTGGAATAAATTGGAATAAATTGGAATAAATTGGAATAAATTGGAATAAATTGGAATAAATTGGAATAAATTGGAATAAATTGGAATAAATTGGAATAAATTGGAATAAATTGGAATAAATTGGAATAAATTGGAATAAATTGGAATAAATTGGAATAAATTGGAATAAATTGGAATAAATTGGAATAAATTGGAATAAATTGGAATAAATTGGAATAAATTGGAATAAATTGGAATAAATTGGAATAAATTGGAATAAATTGGAATAAATTGGAATAAATTGGAATAAATTGGAATAAATTGGAATAAATTGGAATAAATTGGAATAAATTGGAATAAATTGGAATAAATTGGAATAAATTCGAATAAATTCGAATAAATTGGAATAAATTGGAATAAATTGGAATAAATTGGAATAAATTGGAATAAATTGGAATAAATTGGAATAAATTGGAATGAATTGGAATAAATTGGAATAAATTGGAATAAATTGGAATAAATTGGAATAAATTGGAATAAATTGGAATAAATTGGAATAAATTGGAATAAATTGGAATAAATTGGAATAAATTGATATAAATTGGAATAAATTGGAATAAATTGGAATAAATTGAAATAAATTGGAATAAATTGGAATGAATTGGAATAAATTGGAATAAATTGATATAAATTGGAATAAATTGAAATAAATTGGAATAAATTGGAATAAATTAGAATAAATTGGAATAAATTGGAATAAATTGGAATAAATTGGAATAAATTGGAATAAATTGGAATAAATTGGAATAAATTGGAATAAATTGGGATAAATTGGGATAAATTGGAATAAATTGGAATAAATTGGAATAAATTGGAATAAATTGGAATAAATTGGAATAAATTGGAATAAATTGGAATAAATTGGAATAAATTGGAATAAATTGGAATAAATTGGAATAAATTGGAATAAATTGGAATAAATTGGAATAAATTGGAATAAATTGGAATAAATTGGAATAAATTGGAATAAATTGGAATAAATTGGAATAAATTGGAATAAATTGGAATAAATTGGAATAAATTGGAATAAATTGGAATAAATTGGAATAAATTGGAATAATAATAGGCATTGAGGAAAATATAAAATATGTAAGTTATTTTTGAAGTGAAAACTTCTTTAGCGGCGTTGAGCACTTTTGTGGGATGGGTAAAAACTGTGAAACTCGCGTCAGGACACGTGGGCTGATCGAAAATTCGTAAGACGGTTGGAGAGTAGTGTTGTAACATCGAAATCGATTAATAGGTTCGAATCAAAACTGTTCGTTTCTTACTTCAGCTATCATAAACCTATCGTATCAGTTTTAGAGATTGGCAATGATGGTTCTGGTAATAATTATGGCGAAAAAGTCATCGAAATTATGGATGTAAGTTGATTTTTCTGAGAGATAAACTTTTTAATGTAATACAATGTAATTTAATGTAACATAAATTGTAATGTGTGTGTATGATAGCGCAATAAATATTGTATTCTACCACATAAATGATAGTACTTTTATATTGATAATAAAAGCAATTAGTTCAAAATTGTTCCCTAACTATCCAAAAAAATCAAAAATGCACAACGTTAATATTAAAGTTTTCACTTCTGCTGGCACTCCCGGAGTGCAAAACGTTTTTTTTTTCTTAAAATTCATGACCATATCTTATAAAGCATTAAATTTGCACCAAAAAATCTCGTTGAGCCGAATTTCTATTTTCATTTTTTGATTTTTTACAGAGCTTTAAATTCAACATTTTCCGTTTCTATCTTTTTTAGCTAAACTATTGAAGTTAGACGAAAATGATGACTTTATATCCCTGTAATTTTTCGAATATTGACGATACAAAAAAATTCATTGAAATTTTTTTTGTGGTCCGTCAGATAAGCTACAAAATTGCTATTTAACTTTTTTGTCAAACTTTAATTGTTTAGCTGAAAAAGGCAAAAAATGGAAAATTTTGAATTTAAAGCTTTGTAAAAAATCACAAAATTAAAAGAGAAGTTCGGCTCAATGAGATTTTTTCGTCCAAATTTAATATATAGTCATGAATTTTATATAAAAAAAAAAAATCTTCCTAGTTAGCCAGAATAAATAAGGTAAAAAAATGATTTTTCTGTGTTATTTAAGCGGTAAAACTTCAGATTCAATGAAAGACCTCTTAAAATTGAAATTATGAGCTCCGCTTTTAACAGGATATTTGTTTGGACATATTCAACGATATTTTGGGCGGAGAGCAATTAAAAAAATATTTCATGTTTTTTTGGCACATCCTATTATATATGATAGTCTTATCAATTTTGTTTTAAACGCGCTAGTCTTAAAATTATTTTGAACTAACATTCTCTTGTTTTTTTCATGTTTTTCCTCTGGTTTTAAATATTTAACACTTAACTACCATTGTATAAAGCAATGGCCTCATCATTTTATTTCTTAGTTTTAAATTAAAAAATAAATCAAATACAATATTATTTCAACAATTTTTTATTTTCCAACAAAATCTGTCATACCATTTCTCAGAAATAAGCATGCGACTTTACAAAGTAAATTTTAAATTACTATTCTTTACTGGAACAATGTATTAGTGTGTTTTTTGGAAGAACCAATGTCCCTTTCAGTGATGTGATAGTCGACGAGGTTACCGTCCATCAATGTTTGTACGCTGGCTTCACCAGTAAGTTGCTTCATGTGAGTTGGAAGAACTTCCTCCCTGAAAACCAACACAAAAATGTTAAGACGAATACATTTTAATAATGTTCAAAACTAATTCTCAAATACTTCCGCTTTGTTGTAAAAAGAAACAAATAAAGTTCTTACCTGGTAACTACGTAACCATTTTTATCTGCTTGGTAGTATACGGTTCTCCAGAAGAATCCATCATCATATGAGTATTTACCATATACTACTCCACCTTGTCTAACTTCAGCCTTCTGCTGGTAGTTTCCATTGATATGATCATCGACTTGGGAAGCGTATTGGTAATTAGCGTTCTTAGCTTGTTGCTGGAATTCAGCGCTGTTTTCGACATGGTTGGATGGATGGACTTCTGACCAGTCGTCTGAGTGACTGCTGCTAGTGGTTGGTACCTTGTGGACGATAACAGTTGGGTGGACTATAGAGTCGTGACGTTCAACTGTATGGGATGCAGGTTCATAAGAGTTTTGATGTTTTAGTTGGTTCAACAGTTCTTCGCTGGTAGATACAACGTTGTTTTCGTGGAATATATTTTCATGGCCGTCGTTACCTACATGGGTAATGGTTACGTGTGAGTTTCCTCCGAATCTGTCTGCAACGCCGGAGTTTTCTTCGTCGGAAGATGAACTTTCCTCAATAACAGTAGTTGTAGTAGTTTTGTGGGGACGAGAGCTTGAAGATGAACCTGTTAGTTTGTCCAAAACTGCTTCGGCTACGCTGGCACCTGAGCCGCTGCTTACTGGTACTTGTGAGTCCAAATCTGATGTTTCCAAATGGGTAATTGTGACTTGTGGTGTGGGATGTTCTACGACTACTGGCCTGGAGTGTCCGTTAACGTATTCTTCGGAGATTGAGGTTGCTGGGCGCTTGTTTTGGTCGAAAAGTTGTGCGAAGAAACCGGATAGACCGCCTTGTTGGTTCTGAAAATTGATTGATTATTAATTATTTAGAAATTTCTAGCTCTTGGTAAATACACTATCCCAAAACAGTGGCCTAAAAAATACTAACGTTGTTGTTGAAGAAGCTGCTCAAGAAAGAGAAGAAAGATGGGTTTCTTAAAAGGCTTTGGACGTCAGAATTTTCTTCACTGATCTAAAAACGAAAGGTACCATTAATTTTGCGTAATCATAGATACTTTATTATTAATACTAAGGTGAAGTATTAATAAATTTTTTTCAGTAAAGAACTTACCACTTTTGAGGATGTTGAGCTGCCCCTTTGCATTTTGTTCAATGAATTGTACATTTTCAAGAATTCCATGAGGAATTCTTCGAGTTCTTTTACGAACTTGGGGTCTTTCATGAATTCTCTGAGTTGTTCGTCGTCGGAAAGTGTTTCTTCTGCTGGTTCCTCAATTGTTGTGATGGTGGTCTTCTTTACGACGGTGTCTTTTTTCTATAAAAAACGAAATATTGTTACATGTTGCGTGTATTTTGACTATAAAAACGTATGTACAATTATAGTCCAATTTCGGTAATAACTACATTGACAAAAATTGTTGATAAAGTAATATAAATAGGTTATCTGGCTTTTTAGAAAAACATAAACTATTAGTAATAATTAATTTGGCTATTTTAAATCTTGCTAAGGATATTTGCAGATTCCGCTAAAAAAATTAACACAATGCAACACAAATGTGATGTAGGTCAACTAAACAACGAAAAAGTAAAAAATAAATATGCAGAGAAAGTGAAATCAGTATTAAGCAATAAACTTGAAGAAAATGAAATAAAAACAGAATGGAAAGTCATTAGAGAAAGCATAGAAGTAGCAGCAGAAGAAAACATTGAGGTTGCACAGTAAAAGTAAGAAGATAATGGTACAATGAAAAATGTAGTAAAACAACAACAAAAAAGGTACAAGCAAAAGTCAAGTGGCTGAGAACAAATAAAATAGAAGATAAAATGGCCTATGGAAAATGAAAAAACAAACTAAAAAAAACCGATAAGAACAAATAAAAGAGAGTGGATAGACAATAAAATAAAAAAATAAAAAACAAAAGACTTTTACAAGAAAATTAAAGAATAGAACAAAATCTACAATGGCAAAAAAAGGGAATAAAAAATAACAATAAGCGATACTGGAAGTTGAAGGTGAAGAATACAAGCAAGTGTGGATAGATTACTTTAAAGATCCCTTAATCGATCCGAAGATGGTAAAATCTGAGATGATAGAGGAAGAGGAAATAGAAGAAAGGGACCTAATTGCTGAACAAACAGGAAAAGAGATAGAAAAGGTCATTGGGAAAAATGGAAATGGAAAATCTCCAAGAAAAGCTTATTAAATATGGAGGCAACGAAGTAAAATAAAGACTATTATCTCTAATTCAGAAAATATACAAAGAAGAAAAAATGCCGAGAGAGTGGAAAATAGGAGAGGTGATAACAATCCATAAAACAGTTGACCAATAAATATGTCAAAACTACAGAGGAATAACACTTCTTAATACAGCTTACAAAATACTTTCAGCAATAATACAAAGACGGCTAGGGCAAACAACAAAAAGGTGATAGGACAGTGCCAATGTGGATTCACACAGGACAAATCAACTATAGACGCAATCCATGAAATAAAGCAAATAATAGAAAAGGCGTATGAGTTCAAAATAGAATTAGAAATGCTTTTTATTGATTTTAAACAAGCCTTTGGCTTAACAAAAAGAACAAAACTACAGTTGGTTTTACAAAAACTAGGAAAACCAATAAAGTTAAGGCGGGTAATAACAATGACGATACAAGAAACAAAAATTAACATTAAAACACAAAAAGAAGCGACAGAAGAATTCATAATTAACAAAGGAATAAAGCAGGGAGATTCGCTATCAGCCACTCTGCTCAACCTCTCATTCGAGTATGTGACTAGGAAAATTAATAAAGGAACACCAAGAACAGAGGGAGGACAAATCATTGCAAATGCAGATGACATAGTGATAATCTTGAAGAAGATCTAAGAATTATGGAACGAAAAATTATGAACGTAATATTAGGACCAATAAAAATCACAGAAGAAGAATATAGAATTAGAACAAATAAAAAATTTAACAAGACCTAGAAGAAGATATAATAACAAAAAATAAAACAATCTAGAGTTAGATGGTTGGGACATGTTTGTAGAGCAGAACATGGAACATTGGTTTATTCAATGTTACAATGGGACCCCGGAGGAAAAAGGAGACGTGGAAGACCCAGATCAGGATGGCTAAAGTGAAAGGAGATCTACGCAAGACAGGAGTGAATATTTGGCAAGAATATGGATTTAGATAGCGAACAGCGGCTTAGCCACACTAGGGGCGGTATTTGGCCATTTTATAATGATATTTACAATGCGCTTAATAATAGTTGGATTATTGTAAGACCTGGCCAAGGCATTTGATAAGTTAAATTCATCAGAAGTTATTAGATATTAATAAAAGGTATAAGAATAGGGGCTATTAGTCCGTCAGATAGTGACAGGTTTAGCTGTCCCATTTTCGCATACAAGCCTCGAAAAGGGTTGAAAAGTAGAATGAAAGGAAATTTACGAGTGGCTGCCGGGGATAACACATGGAAAATTCGAATTTTCCTAACAAAAACGAAAGGTTATTTGTTGTCCATTTTTCCACACAAGCCGTTTTCACTATATGATTAATTAATAGAAGTTGGCTTCGGAAAACCAAAGGCTTTAATATTGCAAGTAGCTAAAGGGTTGAAATAAGGGCGTAATCTTCTAAGGAAAAATCGAGATTTTACCCCTTTTTTCCACACAAGCTCATCGAATGTATGATAACGTATATCGTCACTAGTCCGAAAAACATATTTTCTTGAATGACCCGAATGTATAAGTGCATTTTGGAAACGGAAAATTTTTCTAACAAGGAAACTTGAATTTTCCATGTGTTATCCCCAAGAGCTACTCGTAAATTTTCTTTTATTTTACTCTACATCGATGTACTTTTCAACCCCCTTCGAGGCTTGTATGCGAAAATGGGGCACCTAAATCAGTCACTATCTGACGGTCTATATTGCTTTGGATTTATTTAAATCTTATTTATTCAAAAACGATTTATCCAAAAAATTTATTTAGAGTATGTAAAAACAGAAGTTTATCAAGTTACCGGATTTTGGCTATATAAATAGTAAGAAGTAAAAAAAAATTACGGAAATAGATTTTTAAAATATAAATTGGTTTAATGAAATTGAATTTATATCTGAAATTGGAAAAAAACACAATTTATAACTTGTTCCTGCATTATTTCGAAATCATCCAATTTTAGTAAACTTAAAATATTGTCAGAACTTTTCTAGGTATATAAGTCCATCGACTTACATACCTTAAATAGAATACTACTAACGATAACGGTTTGTTCAAACTGAAAAATTTATTAGCGAACCACAATATGTAAAAAAAGAGTTCCTCAAGGTATCGTATTTGAGCCGCTTATGTTTTTAACGTATATAAATGGGTTGTAAACTTTCTTTTGTCCATAATAATTACAAAACAAGTTATTACTGGAATAACTGAATCAAACTTTAACATTATTAACGAAAATGTTAAAAATTCAATATTTTATTTGTAAATGAAATTATTAATCTAAAGTTATCAAATTTTCTTCGTAGTTATACTACGTATTTTATAATACGTTACCGATTGATATTTTTTTCTTTATGACAATATAAAAAATAATCAGTTTTGAAATAAATAAAACCCCCTGAAAATTACACAATAGCATTGGCGAATTAACATAATTCTATTTTAGATAAGAAATTATTTCTTTATTGGTGTTTTATTATTCAATCGCCCTTACTACCATTAAAATATCATTCGGAATTAAAAGCAATAATAATAATTGTACTTATACAGGGTGGGCCAAAAAAGTAAGCTATTTTTTGTTTAAAATTATTTTTGGCATCAAATTGGCAGAAAATATTTTCATAAAATAAGGAGGGTAGTTGGCCTCAGAGTAATCTATTGACTACAGTAATTTTGTTGTATATGTATTTTGTTTTTAAATAACTATAATAATAATAATAATAATAATTGATTGTTAAACATTGATTTTTTCAAAATTAAGATAGTTAATTAAACAATATAATAGGTATGTATGAAACTAGTTGTAAAATGCCTCATTTTATGTAACAAGTGAATAGTTACGGGATGAGCACAGCGAGGTCCCGCAACATGAACGAGATACATAAAATGGCATTTTGTACCGTGTTGTATACAATATTTTTTCTAATTTTGACAAGATTATTTATAAAATTGTGTTGTGGTAAAACATTACTACTTTCTAGTATTGTTAGTTGCAAATGCATTATTTTATTAACAAATAGAACATAATATTAAATATTTATTCTCAACAACTTGTAGTGTGTTTATAAGGCTTATTAAAGTTGTTTAATTTTCAAAACAGTGGGTTATTTTGTTGGGAAATTCACGAAATTTTTTTCTTGCAAATTTAGTGTAAAAATAATTCTAAAGAATAAAGTTTAAAAGAACAATGTGCTCACTTTTTTTATATCACCGTGTATAATTATTACTTATTAAATATATATGTCTTACTTTTTGTATTTTACTATTGAGGCATGATTATTCATAACATAATTATTATCTGACTGAATGATACTTTTTTTATTTTCTAGATAAAACAGCAAAATGTTTTGCTAATATTTTTCTCTGAAAAGCAGGTACCACTTATTATTTATATTTTTTCACTTATTTAAATCTGACATTTTCAGACCATACATTCACATACAAGTGGTGTGGGAAGTAGCTGAACAGATATAAAATACAATATTGTGTAGGTACAGGGTTGTCAGGTACAGGTTTTTTTGCACCTAGGTTTTTAGGTTTAAAAAAAAAAACCTAAAAGTACAAATTATACATTTTAGGTTTTTTTAAGATAAATATTAGGAATTCACAATTTTACTTCTAAAAAGAGTGCAAAAATGAGTATATAAAAACAAATGCAAACGTTATATATTAATGATAGTGAAAAAAAAAAAAAAAAAATTTATTTATTTTTCACTTTTTAGTTTTTTTTTGTTTGCAGAATGTAATTTTTTAATATAATGAAGTTCTATTTTTCAAGTTTTGCTTGTATTTTTTGTTTAACTTTATTAATAACTTTTGACATATGAACAAAAAAACCTATAAAACCTTAAAAAACCTAAATAACCTAAAAAGCTACTCATATATTTTTAATTTCTTAGGTTTTTTCCAACCCTGTGTAGGTATACCATATGTATTTGCTTTAATTTTTTTTTATAAATATTTTTAAAGGGATAATACTATTCTTAAGTATAATTATTGATTTATAATAGCTTTATATAGTTTTCTGATTTGCAGAAATGTATTTCGACACTACATTACAGTTATTTTAGAGTTTTCATCAAAAGAAAATTGCTATTGACGCGGAATTATCTCACACTAATATTTATAAAAGTATTTTTTAAAGCCTTATTATGAGCTTAAGAAACAGTTGTATTTGTATAAACAAAAAGTTGTAAAAGTTATCCAAAGCAACAATATAGAATCACTATAAAGCAATTTAATTTTATTAGTTGAAATGTTGTATAGAATAGTTGTATAAATGTTTATGTAACAATTTTATAGTTATTGTGAAAACTATTTTATAATTTTACTGTAACAATATTGTAAAAACTAATTTGTCTAACAATTTAGTTTCAAAAAAAAAAAATAGTGGTTTCTGCAATATAATAGTACTGTAAACTACTAATTATTGGGTAGTGCTAGTACTAGGTAGTAAAATAAGACTTCTAATTTAAAATTTTATAAGATACAATTTAAAAAATAAACTATATGTTACTTACGTTTGGTGCGTGACCTCGTTCCAACTCTTCAATCAACCTCTGCACATCATCATGGCCTTGGGACCTGACCACCGTGGTGGTGCGATCTTCTGTAGCTGGAGCAGCCAAAGTAAAGGCCAGGCAGGTTAAGAACACGACTACTGCTTTGTTCAACATCTTTGATGGATGGTCAATGACTGAAGTGAAGACCCTTGGGTACTACGTCTTTTTATATTTTAAATAATTAATGGCAATTTTACGACCTTTCGAAACTTGGGTACTGCTAAATTTTCAAAATCGTTAAACGTCAATTGGAATGTCGTTACTATCATTATGGGTGATTATGGTGCAAATTGTTGGAATATAATATTAATTAATGCTTTCAGTGTTTAAATGTTTCTTTAATATTGTCAACGGTTAGAAATTTAAATAATATAAAAAGTAATTTTAAAATACTTTCTATCAAAATTCTTTGTTCACGAAGCCAATCTGTTCTATACCTTTTTCCACGACTATGTATTAATAAGTTGATTCTTAATACATTTTCAGTTTAAGTATGATATACATTAGACTGGGCCAAAAAAATTGACTATTTTTTTTGTTGAAAAATATATCGAGAATGTCATTCAGGATGACAAAAAAAAAATAATTCGTGAAAATTTGAGCCCTTAATATTAATTTTAAGAGGTCTATCATCGCTATTTTAGTCATAATTTGATGTTTTACGTTAGAACTGTCAAAAAATTAAAATGAAAAAAATTCCTTTTCACTTATTTTTATATACAATTGAATTCTCTACAAAAAAGGTCTGAATGAAAATTTTCGTCAGACGAGCCGTTTCCGAGTAATTGAGCTTAATAGATCGATGTGTTTTTTCGATTTGTCCTTTTTACTTTGAAATTGTGTAACTAATGAATCAATGAATATTTAAAAAAGCTCGGATTCTTAAAGGAAATTTAATGTTCTACAAAAAAAGGTCTCCTAAAATTTTTGCCTAAATTTAATTCTTCAAAAGTTATTCATGATTAAAATCGAAATAAAACATGAAATTTTTTGTAGAGAATTTAATTTTATATAAAAAGTGAAAAATATTTTTTTTTACTTTAATGTTTTGACAGTTCTAACGTAAAACATCAAATTATGACTAAAAATCAAAAATAGCGATGATAGACCTATTAAAATTAATATTAAGAGCTCAAAATTTTCACGAATTTTTTTTTGTCATCCTGAATGACATTGTCGATATATTTTTCAAAAAAAAAATAGTCAATTTTTTTGGCCCAGTCTAATATACATTTTTCTACTAGTTGAAGAATATAAAAATTCTTCAACTAGTGGAATAATGAAATCAACCAATCACAAACTACAAAATAATATAACATCATATTTATGCCCAATAGAAATTCGCTTAAACATCATTATTTCAAAGGTGTGCTATGATGACTTCCGTGAATTAACATAAACGTCAAAAAATTTGATTTAAACGTACCGTTTTTTAGATATTAGAATTATTACCAAGTTTTTTAAACAAAATAATGGATTCTGAAAATTTTGAAAGAGATAATGACATTAGAGGTACTTTACAGTTATTAGAGATGGCACAATAAACAATTTCTAAACTTTTACCCCAAAAATCAGCAAAAATATATTCAACATCGTACAAAATATTTATGAAGTGGCGTATTGATAACAAAGCAAATTCCTTTTCAAAAAATATTCTACTGGCTTATTTTACAGAATTGTCGAAGAAATACAAGCCTTCAACATTATGGAAAGAATATTCAATGTTTAAAAACACTCTTGTTATAAACAATGATATTAATATTAGTAATTATTCTAAATTAAATGCATTTCTCAAGCGCAAATCGACAGAATTCACTGCAAAAAAATCTAATACATTTACTTCCAAACAGATAAATAAATTTATAGAAAAAGTTCCAGATAATATTTATTTAGTAATAAAGGTAAAAAATTCCATGCAGAAATATTTTTATATAATTTATAGTAGGTATCTACCTACAGTCATAAGAACTAAAATTTAAATTTTTCTATTTGACAAAAGATTTTAGTTTAATTCCTAATGAGTTTCTTGTTATAGTTCGTAGAAAATGCAGAAAAGTCCTGACTTAAGATTCAAGTGCAATCCCGACAAATAATATCAAATTTTTTTATCATTCTTAATCCAATATAAACCAGGGTCGATCATTTTTGAAACAAAAAAAATAATAGTAGGATGAAACCTGTTAAAAAAGGACGATAATATAACAAAAATGAAAGGAAAAATAATTTACGGGCGATCTGAGGTCGAGAAGTGGAAGGGGGTGAGTTTTTAAGGGTAAAAAACGGTGTATCTAGATTTCCGGCAAAACTACAAGTCCTATGGAAAAAAATTAAATGACAAAGTTGTAGGTAATAAAGAGACCTACAACTTTTGTAATTACACTTTTTTACATAACCTCAAAATTTATGTGAAAAATTCAAATAATCAAGTTTTTTATTTTTATCTTATACAAAATTTTTTTTTTTTTTCGAAATTTGGTGAAAACTTTTTTTATGTCCTAAAGACACTGTAATTTTTTTGATTTGAAATATTTATTTTTTCACCTTATTTTGATCTTATATCGAAAAAACACCCTAATTTTCAATAGAAAATTTTCGCGTCAAAATATCAGCTGTTTAAAAAAAGTCGAGGAGTTTTTTGTTCGTTCAAATCTCTTCTTTCTGATAATGTAAAAAAATATATACATAACTATGGTAAATGTTCTCAGAAAATACAAAGAAAAGAAAAAAACTCGAAACCGAAATTTTTTTTTAATTACTATATACAATTTTGAGCTATTTAGTAAAATTGACACTTTAATTACTTAAAAAACGTCAGATTCTATGTTACATTGATAAACAAAAAAAATTACAAATATGTAAATCATAAAAATTGCAAGAAACATGCGAAAATAGTTGTTCTAAATATTAAAGATAGGATTTGAAGGGGGGATTTCAATTAAAAAATGTGATTGTTGCGATGTTTTTAGTAAAAAAGTTGATTTATTAAATTCTAATTACATTTATGTCATAGAAAATCTCATAATATACAGGGTGTCTGTAAAAGGTCTTTACAAAAACATACCACATATTCCTTAGACCAAAATATGTCCATTTTAGGTAAAATTACCTTAGTACAAAGTTGCCTCGTTTGAGCTCCAGAGGGCCTTGAAGTTACAATTTTTAAATCGTTTTTCCCATATAAATTTAAAACGGCATATGCAATTTTGCTGAAATTTGGTATGTTGGTAGAGTAAAATTTTGTCCGATATCAAACTCCTTTTCTTCCATTGGCGTAGAATTTTTAAACGTGCAATTATTTAAAAAATCAAGTTCTACGCCTCTGTATTATTATTGGATAAAATTTTATACGATGAAAAACATAAAAATGTACTTTTTTCATATCTTCTTCAACACTTCTAATCGAGACTTTTTACAAAAATACTCAATTCTTGCCATGTACGATTTTTTGAGGAATATTAATTATTTGCCTGCAATACGTATACAGAACAATTTATTGTTGGTTTCCATAGTTTCATCTAAATAAAAATATTGTCAAGTTTTAACACCTAATCTCTTGTTAACGATTGAAAGTGTTCTATCTGACTCAATAATTAAAAAACAAATGCGTGGTTTATTAATATGGCTGTACAATATACCAATGCAGAATATACCGATATGTTACTGACATTAGGATTTTGTGAAGGAAATGCTTGAAAGAGTGTCAGGATGTACTCTGAAAGGTTTCCAAATCGTCGTGTACCTAGCCACCCAACTTTTGCTGCTGTTGAAAGATGTCTTCGGGAGATCGGTTCCTTTGCTCCCAACACTGTTGATAATGGAAGAGAACGTTTTGTAAAGATTCCTGAAGTTAAAGAAGACATTTTAGAATGTGTTGAAGAAGATCCAGAATTAAGCACCAGACGAATTGGAAGAAAACTAGGAGTAAGTAAAGATGTCGTTCATAAAGTGCTTAGAAAACAATTGCTATATCCATACCATAAGAAGCCAGTACAAGAATTATTAGTCCATGATCCTCAAATTCGTTTGGCTTTTTGTCGATTTGTTAATATGCAAAGAGAAAGAGATCCAAGCTTTGTCAAGAAGGTTCTCTTTACCGATGAAGCGAGTTTTAGAAGAAGAGGTATAACTAATACCCATAATGAACATGTTTATGCCGTTGAAAATCCGCATGCAATAAAGGTAAACCATTTTCAGCACGAATTCAAAATTAATGTGTGGGCTGGAATAATTGGTAATTTCATTGTTGGTCCTGTCATACTTCCACGAAGATTAACTGGAGAAAATTATTTGGATTTTCTACAAAATACGTTGCCAGAATTGTTAAAAGATTTACCTCTCCAACTTCGGAGAGATATGTGGTTTATGCAAGATGGAGCTCCACCACATTTTTCTTTAAACGTTACAAACCACTTGAATGAACAATATCCACACAAATGGATAGGCAGAGGTATTGACGCACCTGTAAACTGGCCACCACGTTCCCCAGACCTAACACCGATGGATTACTTTTTATGGGGACATCTGAAATCCACAGTTTACAGCGAACCTGTAGAAAATGAGGAACAACTCTGGCAACGTATTCAAGATGCAATAAACAATCTTAGAGGTGATGAAGAAGTTATGGAAAGGATACATTTTAATTTTCTTCGACGTATAAATCTTTGTATGCGTGAAAATGGTAACCATTTTGAACAATTTTTGTAAAATCTCTGTTGATTATGTTGTAAATAAATATTTTTGGGAAACCTATACACTCTAAATTATTAAAACAGAAATTTATCGAAAATCATGAGAGTAATCGAGTCTTATCAAGAGTACCTTTTTTAATGTAAATGAGTTGCGCAATCTAAATTTCATACTCAAACTCCTTTTCTTCCATTGGCGTAGAATTTTTAAAGGTGCAATTATTTAAAAAATCAAGTTCTACGCCTGTGTATTAATATCGGACAAAATTTTAATACCATTTTTTTTGCCACATAAAACTCTACCAACATACCAAATTTCAGCAAAATCGCATATGCCGTTTTAAATTTATATGGTAAAAACGATTTAAAAATTGTAACTTCAAGGCCCTCTGGAGCCCAAACGAAGCAACTTTGTACTAAGGTAATTTT